CAAAATCACACTAACATACAAATACCATTACTCCATTCCCCACAATTGCCACGTTAACGATTGAAAAGAATATGGATAAGAGACCTATATTTATATTCATATATATGGNTATATATATATATAAAATAAGTTGCACATAATATTAAGTACAACAGTCAGTCAATAGTACCAACTATACCATATGTTTAGCAATTATTTTAATTGATTTATTATTTTTCAACTCAACCATACTTATAAAATGCATAAAAAATATATTTATTTTCTGTTTTTGTTTGTATCTTGTTTTTTCTCGTTCGGCTATTTTAATTATTTTTATTTATTGACCTTCTTACGGGAAAACAAGTCCGTTTGTAAAATTGTAACTTTAATAAGCATTCGGTCATATTGGCATGTTTTTAACAATTTTTATTTTTAATTTATATTGTTTCGTTTCTAAAAATTAAAAAAAACTGCTTAGAAAATGCACGAATTCGTAACATCAATAGGAAGGCAGTGTCGTGTTATCTTTTTAACAAATTCATTTATATTTTTATTAAGCGTTTTTTTATTATTATATTGTTAGAATACATTTTTATTGTAATATGTACGAAGGTTTTTCCGATCTTTTAGGTTTTTAAATCGTGAGTTTGTATTTTTTACTTATTACTGGATTGTTACTGGCCCGTGACATTTTTCTGTTTATTATTATGTTTGCTATTGTGAACATGTTTCGTTGGTGAATAAGCATTAATTTTAAGAGTAGCGGCGTATCAAGCCGAAGGTAGTGGGGTCGAATCCCGCTCCTGACACTAACTTTTTTTATCTCAACCTAAAATCTTAATTAATTGAATGATATTAATTGGTCAAGTGGACCACGAAAAATAGTGAATTTAATTTTAAGCTTAAATATATTTTTTAAGTACGTTAATCTTTTTTTAATTCCGTGAATGCTATTTTATTTTCTTGGTTTTGTTTGTTTTTTAATTTTAATTTTAATTTTGAACGCTTTATGGTGGAGGTATTGTTTGTGTGTGTTATTATCTGCCTATTTAATATTTGTGCTCCTGGTGTAGTTTTCTTTGGATGCCATTATTTAATGTTTTTATCCTTTTCTTTTGGTTCTCGATTTATTGCTTTTCGTTGTTTTCGTGAAATATTTTTGTTTCCACATTACCCTTTTGCCGTAGTTTTTTGTGTGATTTCATTTCTTTTGGTTAGTTCGTTTTTTTGGTTTTTAGGCATTTTATTTTTATAGCAAAATAGAAAGAGCAATCTTTATACATTGAATATAATTTTTAAAGTATGGTTAAAAGACATAATAATATTATTTTTTATTGTAAACCACGACAGTGAAATTTAATTTAGACTCATATAAATTTCATCAAATCAATAAAAAAACCTTTTGATCTCGGTCTTAAGGAAGTAGATTTCAAAGAGGCAAAAAGAATTAAGGCATAATCGGATTTACCTGAAAGTGCGAGGCAGAAGAAGGAAAAAAGAAACAAGCTGATTATACTGTTTTTCAAAGAACAAAAGAACGATAATCCCAAGATAGTTTAAATTGAAGTATTATCACAATGCGGAGCAGGGCAGGTCTTTTATCTCAGGGTAAAAATCTCTGAAAGGATCCTCAGTTCACTGGGGCAAAGCCATCGGAAGGATGACGGGAAAGGGGTAGGAAAGGACAACTCAGACAAAGGGAATGTCTAGAGGGTTGAGAAAGTTCCGCCCTCTAATGTAATTGATGTCGGGAATGTCATAAGTAATTTTAAAGAGGACATAGCCGGGATAATGAATTATACATGACATTGAAACAAGTCGAGGAATCAAAGTTTGAAGGGATTGGACTCTCTTCTTATAAAGAAACCCCTCTGGACCACCGCAACACTCAATATTATTACCATAAAATAGAGTAGTCCAGAATATGATTAAAAACGCTCCTCGTCTTACCTCTTTCCGGCCCAGAGATTCTCTTCCCCTTTAATTGGTTCGAAAGGCATTTCAATTTACGACGAGCTTCTCTTCTTTTTAATGGGAAATTCATAATTTAAATTTAATAGATTACAATTGAGTTGCTACCCTGAAAGGCACTCCCACCCTTATTTCTTGGCTGTAAATAATTGTCGGTTCAAAAACCTTGGAAGCTTTAATCTCGAGTTTAATTAATTTGAAGAAAAATCCTATACCGAATAGAAATTAATTTTTGTTATTCTAAATCCCTTTTGAAATGGGGCATTCTTTGAGAAGTAAGTCAGTATTATTTTTTCGAACAAAGATTTTTAATAAACTGTTTAAAAATTCTTTCTTTTATTTAGCGTTAAATCAATTTTATGAAAAACAATATACTTCCTATTTATAACTGTATAAAAAATGTTTTCTTTTATCAGGGAATCGTGATATCAAATTTGCTGAAAAAGTTCCAAATGTGCAAACAATAATACAGAGTAAGTCAATGATTGGCTAAGAGTAGGTCATACACGATTGACACACTACGACGTGTTTCGATGGTCGGGTTTGTAAAGTTGCTCAATGTGCCCAGCATAATTACATCATTTCTGGCGTCTGTATAGAGAGGGCGAAGGAATCCCACCACATTGGAAATGTGCTCGTCATTTTCCGTTCTAATTTTTGTAAGAGAAAGGGATTCTCAACTGTATATAGTTTTTAATGTAGTAGTATATTTTGTGTTAAATATTCATGAAAGTATTTACTAGCTTGAACACGTGCAGGGCGAGAATGTTGTATTATTACCAACTATCCAAAAACTAGGTGTACAGTTAGTGTAGAAGTCGCACTATGATGAAGTGCGATTAGGTTAAAAGGTCTTACTAATTTTTCTGTTTTTTAATTTATTGTTGACCGTTCCTAAACATCTTATCATTCATTACGAGGCGATCGAACCAAGATATTGCTGCTGCAGCTGTACTCCCTAAGACAGGTGAGAGTGGAAGAAGCTCGAGCATTCGCTTTGAGGTGCAGAATTCTTGGGGAAAAGACCCTGACCCACGAAGGATCGGAAGAGGATCAAAAGGGAGCTCGAGGCAACCGACCGGCCGGCTGATAGGCATCGAAGAGAGAGTGTTCAAAGTAACCAACCGACACACCAGGGAGGTATCCAAGATGTGGAACGGGGTGAGTGCACTGAAGGGTGAGTGGCCCAAAAGGGCCCAGATCTTGGACGTTCTTTCCCGTATTTACACTGAGCCCTTAAAAGGGCATGAGGATCTTTAACGTCCATACTTAGCCTTTCGGCGCTACCGGACATTTTCATTCTCAAGATTGAATGACGCACCTCCGCTCGTGACTGGATGGGTGTTAGAGCCGCAAGTTTTAGTGTCGAAGCCGCCTCGGCCGAGACGGATCTCACTCTCCGCTTGTCCATTGCGAGTGGATGGGGCTGCAGACCGTCTGCCGCTTCGCAAAGGTAACCGGCGTCAGCTTGGGTCGTCCCGCCGTCTCCCTAGATAGAGAAGGCGACTATCTCCTAGGGTATTGGAGCTCCTCCAGCGTAAGAACTTCCGGATCAACTCCGGCCGCGGTTTTGTTTTAATGTGCGATGTCTAACCACCCCATAAAGGAACACTGCCCTCGGAAGGAAACCGTAACTCGAACGGTACCCCCAGCAACGGGATGACATTAAGTTCTCACCAGGAGCATCGCCACTAAGTCACTACGAGTCCATTCCCACGTAGCAGGGTTTGGGCTTGGAACATTTTCTGCTACCCCGTACTTCAGATGGTTATTGTGCCCGACCCAGAGGCAGACACGAATCCGTATTGTGCTTTAGAGAAGTTGCCACGTTCTCAAGGCTACATCATTATGTTGCGCCAGAATACCCCCCTTGCATCCCATGGTTGGGAGAGGTCTCAAGGAAGTATCCCGTAGGACTGGATTGAGAAAGGGAAGTGACCGAGGACGCATCACCTTTTCTGGTTGCACCCCCCGCCTTGGCCACACGGTACCACCCATTGCCACTGTAATCCCACATTTAAAGGGGTATGGCTCCTCTGGGTGGATACTACAGACGAGATGGCCGTTCAAGAGCCGACCAAATGCGACCGCCGACCAGTCATCTCGAAGGACAAATCCGAGGTTGTGTGACCGCCCGGCCCACACCTCGGATTAAAGCTTTTCATTCTCAGGCACCCTTCTCCACATGGGTGAATTCAGGGGGAGAGGTGGTCAGTCTCTCCCCTATGGGTAACGTGTGTCCACTGGGATTCACAGGCCAGCCCTCACCTCTGCTGCACCCACTCCTTTCCGGAAGTCCACACGCCCCATATGTTGGAGGAAGTCGATGCTACGTTCTGGGTAGATGGGACACCTGTGGCCATGTATAGCCTTGCATGACCCCACCGCTACAGATTATCCGCCGAGAATGAGATGGCACTTCTATGTGTGCCGAAGGGATGACCATTTTGCCAAGGATTGCCGCAGCCCTCGAGCGGGAAAAATTACCATATACAACACACAAGAAGATTTGTTAGATCTAGGCATATAGTGTTAATACATTTGAGTCTTACTAGATTGCACTAATTTTTTTAGTGTTAATGGTCAGGAAGACTAGTTGACCTTTATTGCGTAAGTTGGTATATACATAATACAAATATCATGCCAAAACTTGTATAAAATTGTAAAACTGCTGGATTTATTAGTATATAAATCTACCTGCAAGTGGCAAAAAATGATGAGAAATATAGTATTTTCTGCTAGGTGCGGGCAAATATTTTCTTTCGTTTTATATTATTTCGAAATGATATTTAAGTTTAAAAAAATTGTGTTATACTTAGTCAAAAGCTGTATCTTGTTAAGAACTTGTTCAGAAGATTCAGTTAGTGTTAGGATTGACATTTTCTAGACTTATCTCAGACAGATTAGGATTAAAAACAGTATAACTTAATCTCATAAACCTTTCCTACTAAATTTGGCATTATTTATTATTTTGTACATTACATATTAAAGGGCTTTTCTCTCGTTTTTCACCAACTCTCTTATAAAGATTTGAAACAATTCGCGTATAAAACATATGTTGTACATGTGAAGTGGTTTTTCATCAATACACTTTAAATAATGTAAAATCTTTCCAATTTTTTTAAATACGATCAAAATTCAGCATTAAACATCACACCCACTGGATAAAATTGTGATCTGCTCTTGATAAGAAAAATACCCCTGGATTGTACTGTAATGTAAATCCAGTAAATTGTATGAGTCTAGGTTTCATTTATGTTAGAATGAATCTTTTCAGATAAATAGACACAGTTTCTATAAAGCGAATAAGACTACACTCAATTGAAAATGGATAAGACTGAAGAAGACAGTAATGAAACTAAGGTCAAAATTGATAATACAACTACTAAAATTCCACGTTGAATGAGTTATTTGTTATAGCATTTGTCTGACAAACCAGTGCACAAATTAGACGTTGGTAAACTTTTAAAGGAAAAGTACAATTGCATGTCCCTTCCTACGGAAATTTCAAACGTGGATCATTTGAGGTAATCTTTAAGACGAATGTTATTCGTCGTAATTTATTTTTATTTATTCTTCCAGCCCGGAGGAGATTGTCAAGTTGAACCCGAGGTACTATAATTACAAGTTGTGCTCTGACGAACACAGGCAGAAATCGGTAGGTCTAAAGTTTTGATATGTTAAAAGTTAAATAATGGTTTATTTATTGAAATTTATTCCTTAGTCGCCGAGTTTTAATCTATTCCTGTCCACAAGTGCAATCGTAATCGCTACTGTTTTTATTTTCTACCTTCACAATTCGAATTTGACAATAAACGTACAATAAACACATTCCTTCTAATGTTTTACATCGAGATATTCACCAAAAAAAAAGGGATCATCATTTCTGACATGGTTTGGAAGAAAATTGTGGAATTATGTACGTTTGATGAACCGTTGTCGAGATTTTGATCAATAGCGATCTTCCCTGGTCTGCCTGTCACGGCTTCGGAACATGAATGGAATAAATCAGGCGGAGGATTGATAACCGAGGGTGATAAAAGGCCGGTAATCTGGAAAGTGAGGGGAGCTGCGCGAGGATTTCCACTCGGCCAACGTTTGCCGTCTGAGGTTTTCAACGGTGGGGACGTTAAACATAATATCCATCGTCCTTTGACGACAAATTTTACTTTTCAGGCAAACACATTTTAAAAGGAAACGACCGGTTTGTATACCAAATTAAACCAGACGAAAAAAAAATATTCTGACTCTTAGGTGGCCAATTGTTTGTCTATATAAAGTACAATATTTTTCACACATAAACTATACATGCTATAATTTTTTTATAAGTTTTATTACAAATAACAGTCGTTCAACGAATATTTTATTTTTCAAAAACTACCCTACCTGGAACAAAATTTAAAACAAGTTTAACAAACTATCTCAGTTTTTTCAACTGGTAACCTACATTTTGATTTCTATATTCATAAAGTTTATTCGATTCAAACTAAAACAACACATTTTTCCAACACAAGTTTTAATTTTCTCTTCGTTTTAACACAATACCTTAAACATTTTAATTTAAAACTAATTTATACAATTTAAAAAAAATTAAATTTTGAAATGGGCTACAACGTTTTTTGGTGGCGCTCATCACTGTAAGGTAAAAGTCCCAGGTTCGAATCCAGCCGCCCTGCATTCGAACCCGACATACTTACAAATGGTCTTTTCTTCAAAAACACCGGCACCCCGAGAGTTGATGAGCACCAATGTGAAGAATGGAAACCAATGTGTCCCAATCTGACCTGTGTGCCGCGAGGCCATACAGTCTCGGACTCGCCCCCACGGTGCCGATTCCTGCAGCTCTTGAACGGCCATCTCATCTCCTTCATCCACCCAGGGGAGTCATAGCCCACTTAATGTGGACCTACGGCGACTATGGGTGGTAATTTGTATGCAAGGCGGGAAGCCCAGAAAAGGTGTACTCGTGCCTTCGTTCATGTCCCCTTCTCAATCCGGGTTCCTTCTCTCTTCCTCGTGACCTCTCTCAACCCTTGGTTACAAGGGGGGTCTCAAGGCACAATATAATGCTGCAGCCTTGAGGGCGTGGCAACCTCTCTAAAGCACAAGCTGTACTCGTGTCGACCTCCGGGTCGGCAGCGGCGACGTGCTTTAACAGACGAACACGTGGGTTAGGGTACCGGATCTTGTCTGCATAGACGGGGGAGGGTGCATAACCATCCGGGGTAGCAGAAATGTTCCAAACTCCAGCCCCTGCTACAGTGGGAATGGATTCGTAGTGGTTCGTGGTGATGCCCCTGGCGGGAACTTAGAGAAGAGTATGTTCTTCTATCTGTGACCTTCTCTCGAGCACTTGATGTGACCATTGTTATAAACCCGGCCTCACGGTATACGAAGGATTGGACATTCGAAGTGTATAGCGTTGAGGACGTTCAGACTACGCTGACGGAGTCCCTCGAATACTGAGAAGTAGCGGATGGAATTGGATAGTGGTCGGTTGTGCCTAGTTGAAGTATGTAAAGTAACACGAATAGCAAACTTTACCGAAGGCTCTCTTCTAGGAGGTGGTTATCAATTCCACTTTCAACAAAACCGCGGTCGGAGCGGATCCGGAAGTTCCTATGCTGGGGATGTCCCAATATTCTGGGAGATAGAGTGCGCCTTCTCTAACTAGGAGGGCGCGGGAAACCCGGCTGATGTATTTCGGCTAGCCCTTTGCGAGCGGCATACGGTTCGATGCTCAATGCGGACCCAACCACTCGGAATGGGCAAGCGGAGAGCGAGGTTCGTCTTGGCCCCTCTGGGCTGGGACAGCCTCTACACCAACGCTGCGGCTGTAACACCCTTCAGTCGTATACGGAAGTGCATCAGCTCTCATCTTGAGAATCAAAACTTCCGATAAGGCCTTATCTGCCAGGTGCGGACGTTAAAGATCTTCACTGTCCTTTTAAGCACGGCAGAGTATGCGGGAACCTCAGACCCCATGACAATGTAACTAACCATAATTGAACAGAACACTTAGTGCCTCCCCTTTCATCCAAACTATAGTTACGTATTCGGCAGGATATTGAGCTGTACTATCCTAAAAAAATTAATGGCTATATCTCAACTCAAATCCATTTTCTTTCTAACTCCAACCAATATAACTATAATGGAACAATTTTATGCCTCCTCTTTCATCCAATCTCATACAGCTTTCTTATGTATAGAAGTTTGATATGTTCCTCCGAATATAACCTTACTGCCCATTGCTTCTCCGTGGTGTAAATTTTGCAGTGTTGTACCCGTTCTTTTTCAAAGGGCCTCTGCTGTCCTGATAGCACTAAAATAGCTGATTTACTATTATTTTGGTTAGTTATTTATATTATTATGATGTTACACAATGAATGTGAATCATGAAAAGTCCTACTATTTGCAAAAGATTTCTGTGCCATTTTTCTCAATTTTACTGTCTCTCGCGGGTTATTTGCGAATGGGCGTTTAAAACAGAATGGTGAGACCGAGAGGGTGTTTCGGCTAATGGTACTGTTGGACGCGTAGGATTGATGTCGGCCGCAGACGTATAGCCCCTACTAGAAAATGAGAAATGTAGGAAATATAAAAGGTGTCGATTCAGAACGGATCGCATATATATTTTTTATATTCTGAAATCGATTTCGGGCCGGTCCCGTCTGTTTGGATAAATGACGTTTGTTGGATCGGGTGCGGTTTCCCACCTGCGATAGATCAAACCTCAATCTCCCCGGCCGGCTCAAGTGTCGGATGAATGACCGCGACCGCAGGGCCCTCCCTGGACAGCATAATTCAACATTTAATTAGCACACGGGCTGAGGGGCCGTAATGGTTTTGCCAGCGTCCCTACCGTGATATGTGAGGAACTGCACGCCTACATATTATAATAGGGGTGTCACAAAGGTAATTTGTACCACTCACCGCTCCTCGCCCAACAGCCTATCAATCATATCTGGGACGTGTGCTGCTCATAAGATACTGGGAGAAACGTTGGAACTTTCAAAGTCAGAAAAAGCCTTCATCCTATTAAAACCGAAAAACAAGATTTATTATAGCTTAACCGAGTACGCGAAAAACATCGATCATTAATCAGCTCATAATGACCGAGAATATTTTTTCACGATTTTTTTTTTCACAGATAAAAAACCGTGTATTATACAAAATTAATTTGATAATGTAAGATTTATTTTACATAGCTTCATTAACTCTAAATCATCTGGACATTTTGGACAAACTGGGATATCTATATTACCCAGAAAATTAGTTGGAACATGTCAAATTTTATTTTACCCACATCCCTCTAATTTTATCCCAAAGTAAGGAAAATATCTCGTTATGTGAAAAGAACAGAACATCCACGGTAATCCAGGATTTCAGAAGCACTTAAAGATAATTGGTGTTTGTGTTCAGAGTGCTAAATTATTACGGTACAGCAGTAAGAAGGGCCTTCAAGCTTCCAAAGAACTGGAGATACTCAGAGAGACAGGTTTCGGGTCATAATTGGACCACATCGTAGAAAGTCGTTAAAACAACAAGTCAAAAATAGTAATGTTAATACTCTATGGTAAAGATGGGGACCGCGGTAGCCGAGTGGTTAGCGTGAGAGACTCTCGGCTCATAGACGCCGCGGTCGTGGGTTCGGTTCCCACCGTCGCCTCTGGCCCTTTTTTCACGATAACCCCCCCCCCCAAATATGAACACACATAAGAATTCGACACCATGGTCAATATGCATAGATCATAAGGCAAAAAAAATATGGTAGATATTTGGAAGTTGGATTAAGCAAATCGTGCTTCCGGTCTAGAACTTCAAACAAATCACAGACTTGGTGGTTAACGCTCATAAAAAATTACATAAATCCCTCTGAGTTTGAAGTAAAATTTTGTTTTCGTGAAAAGGTTAGGAAAGAAGTTAGAGTAACAGTTAAGCATGAGATAGATTTTGGGTAGTGAAAAGTTAGGTTACTTAGCCATGATTTAATTTCTTTTCCCTAAAAATTTGGGAAACTGTGCAAATGCAAAGCGCCATTTTTATAATTTTTTCACGATTTTTTTTCAGGTTGAGTAGTTTCTCAGCTGAACACCATTTTTGCTGGTTTCCTCAAGGAACTATCTTTGAGCCCATCTTGTCTCTTGTATATTTTAGCAAAATAATTCTCCCCTTAGGAGGAGAGATACAATTTCGAACAATTTAGACAACAAAATATAACCAGACCTTACCAAAAACACAGGTAGGGTAAAACACAACCGTATTCATTCCAGGGACGGGTAAGGTTACATATCCACGATGTAGTATTTTTCGTAAATCTACGATATTGAGCAAATGCGAAGTGCAAGTGTTCTAATTTTTTTTAGGTTGAGTAGTTTCTCAGCTGATCTAGATGGCTGCTCGTTTTCCTCGAGGATCTGTCCAAGAACTTATCTTGTTTATTGTATATATGAAGAAAATACCTTGCCGAAAGGATGTCAAAATGGCTCTTTACGCTAACCATATCGGTCTCTACTCTTCCTCTTGGAGAAAAGATGCAATATCAAACTAGTTAGACGACCAAATAACATAATCAAACTTTATCCATCGTAGACCAAGGCAGTCAAAACACGACATTTATTCTAGGAACGGAGTCTCTCCTCCAAGAGGAAGAAGTAT